AAGGGCCGTGCCTGTGGCAGCAGCGCCCCCCCCCCAGTGCAGTCGCTGCCCCGGGCCCGGCCGCGGAGAGGAGCCGTCCTGCGCGAGGGGCAGCGGAACCCCGCGTCCGCCCGGCCCGGGCCCCGCAGCGAGACCCACTCACGCGCCGCGCCAGCCACCGCTCTGCCCGTGGGCGCCGCCATCTTGGCCGCGGGTCATTCAAAGCCAACTTTATCGACAGCCTCCGCCGCGGACAGGGCGCCGCGGTGCGGAGTTGTTCTGGGAAGAAACCTGGCAGGGAGACAGCAGCCCTCCCTGGTCAGGTCCCTGCCGTCAGGGGTGGATGGAAGGACGCTGTGACTCTCGGGGGGGTCTGCAAAAAAAACTGGTTGCCCATCAGGTGCCCTAATAAAATTGGAGACCCCAGTTAGGGTTATGGTTTTCAAATATTACAGGGGGACCTTGTCTCTTACGGGGGGCTCAGCCCCCCGAGCTCCCCGGCAATTTGAACCCCATTTACATCGTCCCTCACGTCGGGCTAAGCAACCCAAGGGACCTGAGCCACCAAGGCCCTGCTGGCCACAGGAGCAAAGCCCCGGCAGAGCTCGCTCGAGGACAGACCCCCGCACCTTCCTGATGGACAGCGGTGCTCAACCTTTTTTGATTCGAGGCGCCCCCCGATAGACTCGAGGTCACTTCCAGGGATGGAGGCAAACCCGAGCAGGTCAGAAGGGCTTGGCTGCTCTGGATTCCTGTTTGAAATCTCCAGGTTCATCGCTTGCACGCCTAACTGTGCTAACTTTGCATGACATCCCATGACCCCCAGGGTAGCCCAGGGTTTCAGGGTGCCCCGGCTGAGAATCACTGGGTCAGAAAGGCAATGACAATCCTGTCCTCTAGCTGAGGCCTACTCCTGCGCCAGGAAAACTTGCCGGATGAGAGGCGGTGTCCTGTTTCTTGACTGATAATGCTTCATGTTGTTAAAAGAATCCTAAAGTGCTCGTTTACAGGTCACTCTGGGTCTTGTTTACTCGGTGCTTTTCTCCTGGCTTGTACAGAGAAAACTGCTGTGTTACTAACCCTTGGGATTTCTCTTTCCAGTTTTGCAGTACTTAGATTCTTGAGTCTCTGTCCTACAATAATTTGGGGGGTTACCCATGAACAAAAAGTTAACATGTTATTTTTTGTTCCCTAGCTATTCATGCACATAAAGCTGTATACACGTGTAAGAGTTCACAAGGTTGGGCATGGAAACTGATGCAGAAAATGTAGGTTTTGGACCCTGATTTTTTTAAAGGATATTTACACACAGAACTGACAGATCACTGGGAGCTATGGATCAGGGCAGGGTACTGGAGCTCTTTATGTGGAAGGAATAGTACCGGCATTTAGGAGGAGTTAAAAAAACCCATATACAGCCACAAAAGCCTGTGTAGTATGACTCTGAAGAAAAAGGGGAGAGGTTTTTAGATAAAAAATTGGATGAAAGAGACTTGGAGCTATAAGCAAAGCTATCTTGTCATTCCCAGGGCTGAATACAGGCATGGGTGAACCAGGCAGCTGCCCAGGGCCCGGACAGAAAGGAGACATGAACATGATAATTTTTTTTCTGTTGTCTGATTATTATTATTATCATTATCTCTGGCGAAGGGGGCCCCAATAGTAAAAGTTTCCCTGGGGCTGCCAGAAGTCTAGGTACGGAGCTGGTGATTCCTACTCCATACCAGAAAATTGGACTTTGTACATTCCTTGTATATAAACAGGATTGTATCAAGAAATTTCTCCTTCTTATTGAAATAAACTGCAATACCCAATAATTAGCTAACTGTTGTGTTAGAAACGATGGCATAAATATTTATGTTCCTCTTCCTATAGGAGAGTGTGGAAAGCTCTGAGTGAAGTTGAAAGTATGGATGGAGGAGTTTTTGCAGCAAGTGTGAACGGTTTGTGCACTGTAAAGCTTTGCTCCACTGGCACAGCATGCAACCAGGCTATAGCTGTTTCCTTATTCCCCGTTCCTTCTTCCTTATGCCCCATAGGCAGTACGCACTGGAGGGTTTATAGGAAGGCTGAGGCAGGACAGGGGCCAGGCCAATACCACATTTCCATAATGATGTGTGTAACCTTGACATGTATTAACCTCTGCAGACAAAAGTTCACATATAACAAGCATATTACTGAACCTTAAGAGTGTAACAGCCGCAGAGAAGCTGGCAGCCTACCGAGAAGATGGACTCGATCCCCTGCCGAAGCTCCTACATCAAGGCTGTTTACATAGTCTCAAAGCAGAGTTTGACTGGTGGAACTAATCTGACCAGGAAGCCATCATGTATTGTTACAAAATACTAGAACTGAAGGGGAAACATTAATCATTGTGAATAGTGCAGTTGTGTAAATATGTGCATGGATGAATCTTCAGGCTGGTAAAGCAGGATACCATCAGACATTTGGTTCTCAATATCTGCTGAAAATGGGAGTCCAAAAAAACCCCTAGAATCTAGGTTATAGACACAAAACTGCATAGTAAGATGACTGTAGCTTTACTATATTTTGAATATGTTATTCAGTACTGAGAATATCCCAGTCTAGAGTTGTATTAAAGTCACCCAAGGGAGAAAACAGCAACAGCAGCAAACAGATGATTATATAGCATACAGTTCCAGGGCCTGATACTGTAAGCCTTTACTGATATGAGTAGTCCCATGTAAATCAATCGGCATACTCATGGGAATGAGGATTATTTCTGTTAAGGAAGAATTGCTAGGTCAAATCCGCAATTTACATATAGTGTTCCACATAAACTGATTCCTAAAGCACTTTGCAAAATTAGGTTTCAGTCTTGCAACCACTCTTCAATGGGAGACCCCTGGGCCTGTAAAATGTGGAGGCAGTTGCCAGGACAAAATAGAAGAGTGCACAGCATAGTTTCTCATGCAGAGAACAGTGGTACACAGATATTAGATGATTAAATTAAACCATTCCATTCAAAAAGCATAGATGGAGAAGGGAAAAAATGTTTGAAAGGAGGTTTGAAAAAAGGCTCCTGTTACTAAAGAGATTACTTGTGGCAAAGCCTAGCAGGGGCCAGGAAACAGCGCAAGCTGTAGGGGATAATTAATGAGATGCAGCTATGCCAAAGAGGGAGGGTCAGCTGATTAGAAGAAGCCTCTCCCAGGTGTTTAAAAACCTCAGCTCTCTGAGGGTCAAAGGGACATGAAAGGGAGCTAGTATCCCAGGAGGTACTTGGCAGACCCCAACCAGCATTAAACACCTGGAACAGAGAGCAGGGAGAGAGCCCTAGGGGATAAGGGCTGAGAGGTTGTGTGTTTATTTTACTCTGAGAATGAGAGGGTTTTGTTAAAGTGATGGGAAGGCTTTTTTTTCTTTCATATTTATTTGCTCTGAGCAGGGTGGGCTTTTGTTAAAGCTGTAGCTTCTTCCTTTTATGTTCCACTCTATACTAATGGATGAGGTGTGGCTGTGAGGAGGAGGCCATAGGATGGCAGGAAGGCATGGTAGCAGCCCTGCCAGGGCGGGAGTATGAGATAGAGGGCCAGTAGCCCAAACCAGAAAGGACAGAGAAGGGGAGTGGCTGAGGCCTGAACATGAGCAGGCTAGCCAGAGCCTGGACGGGTGAGACCAGGGCTGGGGCCCAGATGCCGGGGTCAGGAACAGCGTTTTTCAACCTGTGGGTCGCAAGAATATATCAAAAGGGTTGCAAACAAACTTTAAAAATGGATTCTCCTTTAAAGGAGAAAAACTTGGAAAACTGGCTTTTCCCTTTCAGGCTGGCAGAGCTCCAGCCTGTGAGGGGCTGACTGGGACTGGAGCCTAGGGGTGGGGAGCAATGGGCTGGGAGTCAGGGCTACTAGGTCAGGACTGGCCACTGATGTTTACAAATGGGTCCTAGTACAAAAAAGGTTGAGAACCACTGAGCTAGAGGAAGGGGGCTAAAGCCCCAACAAAACTTTTGTGGCCAGAGGGCCAAGCTGTGTAAAGGGATGAGATGCACACTCCAATGATAACTTGTGTCATCTGTGAGATATTGGTGTGGTGGTAGGGGAGGAAGGAAGACCTGAGAAAACAAGTACCAAAAACAAATAGGAGAGAGGGAGAGCCCCAGAGGACTTGCCAATCCCAGGTGGGCAGCCTCCCCCATTAACTTTCTCTACCAACAAGGTATGGTAGACAAGTGAATGGGTTGTCATCCAGGGAGATCTGAGTGGGACCAAAAAAGACAGAGGGGGCCACAAGGAGGTAATATAGCTGCCCTTGGGCACCATCTTGTCACAGGTGCATGTTATTGTCTTTCTACATATATTGGAGTGTCCTTCTAGATGGGTGTGGGCAATTATTTCAACTGGCAGACCACTTAATCAGTTTTGATGAGCTGTCAAGGACCCCTCACTTAAAATCTTTCAGAATATATCATTTTAATAAATTTATAGATGATACATACAGTAGATGTTTGATTTTTAGTATAACATTTTATTTAAAAAAATAATTGTTTGTGGGGGTTTTTTAAATGGTGTATATAGAGGTGATTGCATAATAGCTCAAAATAAAGTCTTACTCTTGTATATTGTGAGGGGAGGAGGCATTGGAGGTGCGTGGAGGGGTGTGCATGCATGTAGGGGGTGGCTGCCTGTGTGCCAGGTCCCAGGAACTGGGGGGGTGGGGCATGCAACAGAGCTTGCCAGGGCAGTAAAGGTGCTAGCATGGTCTGTCCCCCCTCCTGCTGGTCCACAGCTGCCCCCACAGCATTCTGAATTGGGCTGAGCTCTGCCTGTTCCCACTCACACCAGCCTGGCCCCAGCCTGTGTGCACAACTTCCTGGTGGGGTTGCTCCTGCTGCTGTAGCTGCCCAGGTCCTGCTTCGCTCCTACTGCCTCCAGCAGCTCCTCCTCTTTCTCCTGCTATGCTGCTCCAGGCGAGAGTGGGGCATTGCAGCCAAGCAGCTCCTTCTCCAGTGTGCGGGGCACTAGCTCCAGGCCACCTTCCACCCACTTGGCCACTTGCAGGTGGCTTGCTTGTTGCACTGGGTGGGAGTTGGATCTGGAGCCCTGCATGCTGGGGCAGGAGCTGCTCAGCTGCAACTCCCTGCTCCCACCCTGAGTGGTGCAGCAGGGGCCAGAGAAGAAGGAGCAGCTGATGGCGGGGGGGACCTGAGCAGCCCCTAGGTGGTTGCAGCAGCACTGGGAGCAGCCCCACTGTTAAGCTGTGCACACTGGCTGCAGTCTGGACTGGGCCTATGGGCAAGCGTGGGCAGGAGCATGGTGCAGGCTGCCCTGGGCAGGAGTGAGCAGGACTCAGCCCTGTGAAGAGTGCCGTGGGGGAAGCCATGGGCCGGTTCCAATCAACTGGTGGGTGTGGGCTGGATCCAATCAGTTGGCAGGCTAGATCCGGCCTGCAGGTTGTATTTTGCGTGTTCCTGTTCTAGACAGTAGATCTGCAGAGCAAAAAATTTGTGCACAAATAGTGAATCTGTAGAAAAGGTCAGAGAGGAGGGAATTTTTTACTTTAGAAGGAACTGGCATGGGAATAAAGGGAGAAAACAAGG